GCCCTGAGTGACACAGTTTAATCGGATGCGTTGAACTCCCGTACAGAAATGCTAGAACCGAAAGTCGATTAAACATGTAATTTGCACCACAAGTGCATTTTGTGTCTGCTTTATGCCTCTTTTAACATATGAAAGCTCTGACCAAGACCACTGAGGTATAAAGTACTGGTCTTTCTGATGGGCCTTTATCTTAATCTTTTACAACCATTTCTGAAAAGCCAAGTAAAAAAACGTTTGTGAAGTTTATTTTTTTAAACTTTCAGTATCCCCCTCTGTGGTCTGAAATTTGGGCTAAAATATGCAGTTAATGAAAATCAGACATGCAATAATTAGCTAATTGCACAACTGTTTATTTTTGACAAGTAGGTCATGATGGTTCTCTGAAGCATATGAGTAGACAGAGAACACTTTTGCGTTCGAGAAAGATGTTTCACATAGCTTTGATATTAGCCGATATAATTTGGCCTATTGACGTGTCGAGTAGCGAATACGAAAATATGTATTTAATAATGAAACTAAGATCCAACAAACAAATCATAAACCGCACGGGTTCTCTGGAAAAATAATATGCTAGATATTTTCCTTTGAGCTGCAATGCAAACGAACTTGAAAAAAGCGGCATTTTCATCTAATGTAGTGGATTTTAGAGTATTGCTCATAACACAGCACAATTTTCAGAGCCTTTAGACGTGGAAATTTGTACAATACGAGTCAAGTAGGACTACCGTAAAAGAATAAACTGTCGTAAGGAAGAGGATTAGGCCGGTAAATTTGCAAACATTTAATGCAAATTTGCATACTGTTTTTTCTTTTTGCACACAAAGACACTAAGCTTCTCGAAATATTTTGTCAACGACAGCCAAGGGTTAACTGGGTAACATGAATTATGATGAACTTGTATCAGTCCGTGGCTCTACTAAATAACGCGTTTGATCAGGATGCCGCTTAAACATGGCTTAAATGATATGGTCGGTAGATGTGGAATTTGAAGAAGCATATCGTTCACGTTGAGCTTCTCCCTCATACTTGCTATTTAAATTTTGCTGTCCGCCCTAAATCACTTAAGCTGACGTCCGTGTTGCCCTTACTGTCAGATTTACCCCGGGTTTTTCAGTGCGATTGACTGAATGAAATTCAAAGTAGACGCGATTTATTGGGAAGTTGTTGAAGTAATGTTGGCAACTTACATCTAAGGATGGTGATTCTGACCATTTTTTTCACAATATCTAGAACTATCCAAATGTGCGTAACCTATTATTGATCGTTTACCTGTCGAGTAAGCATTACATTTCGGTTGCTTGGTTCAATTAAAGCTCTCTGCCTAACACTTCCTTATCCTTTTCCTAAACGATCAAGGACATCTTAACGGCGGTGGACAGGATATTTTTACTGTTCTAATCGCAGTAGTTACTAAGAGAGCTTTGGCTGGAACCCCTTCCATACTATATGTTTGCCGGCGGCAAGAACTACTTTTCATGGACATGTCTTTGCGATCGGAGGCAAAGTAAAAGCTTCCGGCCCAGACATTTAAACTATGCAGTCAGTCCACCGTGTGTTCCTGTAAGGTCGGCTAACTGCACCATATTGAGGCATACTTGCTGATATTGCATCAAATATGCTTGAATGTGGTCGTAAAGAGGTAACTGGTCACTAAGTGCTGAAGGGCATTTAGTCATGCAATGATTTGAATTTTGCACAAAGTATATTTCAATTTTAAATGGGACACAAAAAACTCTTCAAAAATGTTATACGGTCTGTGCACGGAGTAGATACAATGAGTGGTCGATCTCCTGAAATGTTTGCTGAAATTCAGAAATAAGTGCTTGATTAGAAACAATTACTTTGCGCGGTTTTACTACTGACTATCCTGCAACATAGTCCTATAAAATGTCGTACTTGGTAGAATTTTACCTTTTGAAAACACTGCTTTTCAATCACTCGTAGAAGACGCACACGGTTAAAAATGACTACTTACATAACATGCATTTCAGAAGATGAAGATGCGATCACTGGGACAAGAAGTTTATTGGCCTGACGTTTCGGGTTCTCACTCGAGCCCATCATCAGAGACATTCGCAGATAGAGGTAAAGCTGGCACCAGGAATGCAGTATTTATAGCACGTGGCTGCCGTGGGACCGTATGCGCACTGCAATTAACAGTTCTCACAATCGCCGCTGGGGTCGTAATTGATGCGGCGGTGGCTTGGCGGTCTGAGTCCGAGTTGTTAATTGCCGCGATTTCGTCATCCGTGCTCGATGCTGGTGTGACGATGGCTCGACAACTGGCTCACTGTCACCGTGATAATTGCTCACCCGCGCCCTCCCCACGTGACTGATTCTCCTGCCCAGGGAAAATCGCAAAAC